TGTTATCGTGCAACAGTAATATGCCATACATGTCTACAGTGATCGTGACGGCGGCGAACGCGAAAATTATAGACCCGTGACGATTTCAGTATTACCATAATATCAACATTGTCATTAAAATACCCGAGTATATTGTTCAACAGCTAAACGGTACGGCGCATTTAATTGTAAGCGACCGGCGGCATTGTTTCAGACCGAATCGAAGATGGTCTCCGCTGCGCCATACCAGAGCTGTGTGTTTATGTCCGACGTTACGTGACAGTATTGTGTTCAACTATCCATGACCTTGGTCTTAAAAAGCTATCGGGACGATTGAACCGTAAAAAAGCGTCGACCGCGGTCGTTTAAATACGCGCGGGTACACGTTTAAACCACCACGGTGTTTTGATGCGTTGCCCTTAGTTAATCTGCTGCCACTTTCGTCATGGAACGCCGAGGATAAAAAAACACCGAGGTACATAACACCGCGGTGTATAAGTATTTTTATGACTAATAGTGCTGTAGTCACTGTCAAGGTGAAGATCTACATAACAACGATCGCGGTTTCGATAATAGCTGTTCGAGACGACTGTATTTGACTACAGTCATGCTATTCGCCAGGAAAAATACGGTTCAGGTGTATTCATTAGTATTTCGATAATTATCGAGACTTCTCGTTGTAGTACAATTTTATATTTAAATTATCGATTTTGTCGATTGAAATATTATGCGCTCAGCCCATAATTTAATCGATAAACGATTAGTGTATACTAGGAAACACTAAATAAGTCCCAGAAGAACTTCGCAATGAGATCAACATTAACAGTAAAGGTGTACATACGGCGCGACAAGAACAACGAATATGAAAATTAATAAAGTCATTGGAAAGATCAAAAACAGGATTTTTTCGTCGTCTGCAAAACAAATATAACTTAAAAGCACGAAAACAAGGCGACAACACCGCGACTGCAATAGATTATTTGTAATGCGAAAAGTATCACAAAGAGAACGTTAGGTAACTGCATAATTAATGATGAGAAAATTAGAAATATTTAAGGCCAATTAAAACAAACGACATTATAACTCATTGGAGCTCGGGTGTCGATTACATAAATGTTAGATACAAATATGCACAAGAATATATTGATTTCTCAAATTACCATTTAGCCGGTTGTTTGTTGAAGTCGAAAAATAATTCAACTCCAATGAGACGGGGCCATAAATATTTTGTTTACTGTATGCGTGGAATAAAATAAGCTGTCATTAATAAACTCGACCGTTAATTACATGCACGTCATTTGTACGCGAGTTTTCCAGTCATAACATGTCAGTGGGCACAGCAGCGCAGTGCGGCAAAATTCGGTTAGTAAAACAAAACGGAGAAACGCAGTGGATATAATCAATCGTGTGCAGCTACATAATGATATTGTATTCGGAAGGTGCGTGCGGGAGGTGAAGGAAGGGCAAGTTTTTATTATTTTAAGGGCGGTTTCTGCGTGAGCCTCCGAGAAACCGTGCGAATTTTAACAATGATAAAAGTGTACATATTATTTATGTACACGTAATAAAACAATTCCAGTCCATACAGATTGCCAATCCCCCGAGAGTATATAAACACATGAAAAACTGTTGGGGTCGGAATAACTGCACCGCACGAATTTCTTCATACTGCCGCTGAAGTCGAGTTATAATTGTTAATAAACAATCGGCGTTACATCACTATTATTGTAAATAGTTGATTACACGCTGCACGCAGTCGTTCTTTTTATCTGTCTGTAGTATTTTACATTTTTATCTCATCTCGCCTAGTTTTCGATGACATCAATTAAAGATCTCGCGGAAATCGGTCAAAATATTGTAAACAATGAACGCGATTTATAAAATACATTTAATCGTTACAACAGATTATTATTAAGTATTTTTTTCACATCTTATATGGTATTTACAGCAAACAGTTATCGGAGTTAAAGCTCATCTATATAATTTATTAGTCATAAAGTTTTGCTCGTATAAAATCGTACGAAAAATGCGGCGTAGTACAAAAACACTTTTTATTGGCAATGTGAATTAAGTTTATTAATAATAAACATGATTATATGTATAATCAACGCACACGATTTCACAGTTACAATAATTACAATAATAACTCATCGAGTTATAATCACTTTTTTTTTTATTAAAGTCATGAAAGTCACGTATATCATTGCGCACATTTTTTATATGCACAAGTTATAATTATTTACGTGTCTCGTTTAGATTGCTTGCTGGTTGATACGTTTTTTACAATTACACTCGGTTCCGGCGTTTCGAATTAACTGTGTAATATTACTTATAAGTCAGTGGGAAATGGGAGTTTATATTGCGTTTTCAAAAAAAATATTTCATCTCAACGATTTTCACCAGATTTCAGTACTCAACGCAATTATTAAACANCGGTTCCGGCGTTTCGAATTAACTGTGTAATATTACTTATAAGTCAGTGGGAAATGGGAGTTTATATTGCGTTTTCAAAAAAATATTTCATCTCAACGATTTTCACCAGATTTCAGTACTCAACGCAATTATTAAACGCAATTACATTATGTCTTTGCTTAAAACCACAATAACAAAAAATACACAATATTTGTTGGTTAATTATAAATGATTCATACACTTTTTATCTATAAAAAATACATGTCTAATTGTATACCTAGTGTACTAAAGTGTGTAATACTTTATTACATATCTGAATTAATATAATTAAATTTTTATTGTTAAATAAAATTGCGTCGATTAAAACCAATTTTTCGTGTTTCTTGTAAAAAATTTTAGATTTTCTATTCTTAGACAATTATAAATTAATATTTTTTATTTTTAAATTAATTTATTTACCTAAAAACACTTAAATATCTTCGAAATCTTAAAACTTTCTTTAAAAAAATGTATTTTTGATTAGAAGTTAATTCAATATAACTACAAAATTATAAATTAAACGTAGAGGTTTTTTTTATTAAAATAATATTTTTATCTTAGCGCTACTGGTGAATTGTTTAAATTCGCTATAATGTTTTGTAAAACGAATGAATTAAAATAAACAAAGTAATTTTAGATATAAATTATTTCCAAAATATATATTAATAATATTCAGTATTCAGTTATTATTTCGTGCAAGTTTTACTTTATTTAAAACAGCGTAATACAGTCGAAGTATCAAATTGATTATGCAAAACGAATAACTTGAACACATCATATTGTTTTTATTTTTATACTCTTGTAGTCAACGAATAAAATGATCATTTTAATTTTATTACGAAGCACAGTAATAGTTTGTTTCCACCAAAACAATATTATGTAAATCAAATGTCGAGTTTTTTATAGCAACTTAAAATAAAGTTTTTGGTTTTTTATTACGACGACATCACGCACATATAATTTTGAAACGATTAAGTTCATTACCTATGGTGAACGGATGTCATTTCGAGTAATAAATCTTGTTCGTGCTGTTATTATATGACTAATGTGTTATTATAAGACTAGTTTTTAATCATTTTGACATTCCATGTATACAATAACTGGTCAAAAGTTCAAATGAGTTTAGTCATGAACGTTTTTAGTACCAGTTATTACACGTTATAAGTGATTCGGTTTTACTTGTGTATTACAATATAATAATTATACATTACAATATTTTATTATGTACTTTTATAGGTCCCGATAAAAAAAAAATTACCTTTTTTGCCATACATAAACGTACACGCTGTAAATTTAATTAAAATATTTTTGTATACTCGAAAGTTGTTTGGAGCGTGTGAGTGTAGCGTATTCTAAATTTAAAAAAATTAAATCCATCGTAAATATAGACTCTTTTTCCGTTCTCTTAATCAACGGAAATTATAAAAAATAACATCTTAATAAAACTAATACTAAGATATATAATGGGTTGTTTATATTGTATGATTATATAAAGCTAATGTCATAGGATTTTTTCTAAAAATAATTCTATAATGTTTCAATTTTTTTCCATTTGAACGTATTAAAAAAATATAGATTTTTGTACATACTCCACGCGAGTTGGATTAAAGTTATTATGTTTTATAGGCGAATAGTTCATACACTTTACCTTAACATTAAATCAAGTGTGGTCTAAAACAAAACAAATAATTTAACCTTTTTCACTTTGCTATTTTAGGACTTTCATTTGCCGTTTTATATACTGAAATGAACCGTATGTGGTGTAGTTTGGACGGTCAATTCCAGTGGAATTAAATCTCGAAATAGCAGTGCCGTTTAAACCGGATTTTTTTTTTTACACACGAGTATCGAATGAACCCATAAAGCTGTCACCGTTTCGGGAATACCGACCACTCTAAAGTGCGTGCCAAATTATTTAAAAGTCTATCCCGGGATAAAAAAAACGAATCCCTGTGTAATTTCAGGGTATTGTTTGCGCTTTAGATGTTTTCCTCTCGGGACCTGCTCAAGTGTTTTAAGGATCGAGCCATTGACCGGACGGGATAAAACTGAATACTCCGGTAAGCGGCAAGGGTGGGAACATAATACGTTTGGCAATTGCCGAAAGTGATAAAAAAATAAACTGAACTGTTTATTTTGCGGGCTCCCTCCTTTCGGTTTAAGCCCACTTACGTCCACCGTTCCCCTTAGAAATTTGCTACAAATAAGATTAGGGATATTTTATTTAAAAAAAGTCAAAAGTAGCTCATGCAATAAAGCAAATGATAGTAGATTTGTTCGTCGTCTATCGGTGAACTCGATTGACTATTATCGTACGAATAGTTTTATCAATAAATAGTATCCATTTAAGAATAAGCCCTCTCTCTAAAATAATGCTCACTTAAACCAAATTTACTCATACGCAATTGAAATACATTGTATAATTGTCTAATAGTTTCGCATGACGCGTAAGTTCATAGAAATGACGAGCTAATCTGAGTAAACATTTGTTTTTTTTTAGGTTTGATTGCATTTGACAAACTGTTTTTAGTAATTTTAAATAGTTTATTAGAATTTTGATACATAAATACCTAATCGACCGCCATGTTATACGAATAAGCACATATATATGCTCTGATTGCCAAGTGAATGGAACAGACTTATGATTAAGTATAATTTTCACGATCGTCTGTAATGAAAGAAAAAATGAATAAAATAATAAAAATTATAGCCTGTATTTTGAAAGAATAGGAAACTTAATGCTGCTTAAATAGACATAATCTATCGAGGGTAAAGTTATAATTTAATGTTAGCGCATTATATATTTCGAATACATGCGATAGGAGAATATTAAGTGTATTATTACTATGATACAGTAGGACGTGACTGGCCTAGTGGACGGTGGCACTGTGTTGATCCCTGCGTTGGTTAATTTCCTCTTTTGTATTAAAAAAATTCACAGAATACATTAATGTTTGTTCCGCAAACACTAATTGTACGCGCTGCGATTGCTTAAAATATTGTACATGGTTAATTATACAGTTTTTTCCGTG